TGAATTGTAATGAAAACAATTAAACGTACACATTGACAACTCTGTGATAGTCAGTTCCACACTGTCTATTACATACTCACATTGCATACCTGCTCATTCAATCAAACATTATGCCCTGTATTTGTTTGTCCACACACTAGTAAACTATGTACGTACCTGACCTCAGTGTCATCCATGCCTGTCCCTTTTGTCATACTGTTTTTTTTTTTAAGGTTCCCCTTGACATTTAGTCCAGTCATGTCTGGATCTAGGGTGCAGCGCTCATCCCTGTCTCCAAGCCATAGAGCCAGCTTTTGTCTGTAGGCAGTTTCCATGGTCACGTGGCCAGTGCGACTAGACACAGAACACCGTTACCTTCCCACCGAGGTGGTACCTATTTATCTACTCACATTTTTACATGTTTTCAAACTGCTAGGTTGGCAGGAGCTGGGACAAGTGACAGGAGCTCACTCCGTCACGTGGATTCGATCTTACAACTGCTGGTCTTCTGACCTTGCAGCACAGAGGCTTCTACAGTTTAACCCGCAGCACTGTAAGTGCCCCTAACTCACTAGAAACCAGCTCCATATTTAAGGCTCTTTTTGGTGTTCTTAGACTCCTTGCCTCTTACAGGAGATGAAGTCCTACCAAGTCTTCTGGCTTGAAAGTTCAGAGAGGGTGGTTAGTTAAGCAGGTTATATAGATGGAGGAGACAGCTAAACTATGGACCAAATTGGGTGGTGGGTTGTTTGGGACAATTAATTTTCTTCAGGGTTTTATCCTTTCACAGATATCCTTTTTAAAAATACCCAAACCCTGCCCCCATCCCAACTGATCTGCTCAGCACACACAAAAGTACTGAGTGATTATGCAAAAAGATGCAACCATTCCATCCTATGCTTCTGGTTTTTAAAAGTCCATGGAACAGAGCAGTCCTTGTTGGTATGTGCTGCCAAGTTGTTTCTAATTTATGGTGACCCTCTGACTTTGTGACCTAATTAACGGTCCTGCTCAGATTTGCAAACTTGGCTTCCTGTTATAGTTTCCCACAATTTGTATCAGTTTCTGCACAAAAATGAGCTTTGCAACTGTGAAACCTTTTGTTGATGTCTATGGAAAATATCTAATGTCTCACAAGCAGGGAGAAAAATATGCAGAAGCACAAGTCATATGAGTATTTACATTATGAATCGCATTATAAAGCATTTGAAAGTGAAACATCTGTGTGGAGTTATCTGCAATGTATCTGAACCTAATTATTTTTTCTATACTATGAAAGGTATTGTATAAATACTTGAAATAAAAGTGCACATAAAGAGAACACGTGCTAAATATTAAGAAGTTTCTTGGGTCTAAACTGGTTATGCATTATTTCTTGAGGGTGCCACAGTCTGCAAGAAAATGAGGATGAGTTATTGATTGATGGATTTTATTTTATTTTATTTATATACTGCCTCATTAGTGCAATTACTACTCTGGACAGTTTACAGGTTAAAATTTAAGCCCCACACAACACCACATAACAAAACATTCAACAATATGGTGATCTAACAGTGTCAGTCTGAAAATTCATACATGAAAGAAAGAAAAAAATAAAAACATAGCATTTTTTTTCTGAAGAAACAACTCTCAAAAGAGCACCTGCTGCTTGCCTATTGAATCGAAGGGACAGCTGAACAAGTTTGTCCCAGGATAATCCTTTGATCTCCTTTAAATCCCCTGTAATTTTCTTTTTGAAACCATTCATTCTCACCAAGTATTTTTACCAGCCTTTATGGGGAGGTTTGTCCTTAGCTAGTTATCCTCCAAGTCTTCTAGATTGAATTTCCTCTTGATTTCCATTCAGTGGTTTAATCAAAGGCAAAACGCAAGTCAAAGGTGTCGGAAATGTTTAGACCAAGCAGTTACTTTTAGATCACACAGACCAGTCATTTGCTTGTTGCTCAGCCTATGTGGTTACCATATGCCTCCTTAATTTGACATAATTGAAAAGGCAACTGTGCGGTACTTTTGCTGCTGTAAATTTCTAAATAAAACAATGAGGAAAAGAGCTCTGGATTTTTCTCTAGTCTAATTTTTTTTAAAAAAATTGGAGGGTCTTTCAAAAAAGAGATTTAACATATTATGATTCCCCAAATATACATGTTTCCTGCCTTATGTCATGATGGGAGTACAGGTATTATTTCAATAGGAGACTCCTTGTTGTACCACTGGAGCAACCTGATAAACAGGGATTTGTGACAGTTTTCTTTGCGTTCACTGTGGATATGAATTTGCCTATATTCGCAAGTTTTCTCATATTGGAAATGGAAAGAGCCAGAGCTTTTGAACATTCTTGTGGGAAAAATTAAGCTAATATGTCTATCCAGACCTAAAACTTTAAGCAATTAGCTGCTAGAAGTCTGAGTTTGAATCCCTGTCTCTTCATCTTAGTACTGAGTTAGGATTGCCACGTTATTTTTTTCTCTGAGAATCTATGCATGTATATGGCTGACAGATAAAACATGGTCCGCTCCCCCCCACACAAGTAGGAAATAATGGTATGAATTGAATTTGGCTTGTGTATATGGCCAAATTTGGCTTCATTTACATTCCTTTCTGGGAGAATTTACCAAAATTCACCATTTTCCTTGTAGTGTACATGGGAGGAACTGCAGGTTTGTTTGTTTTTTAAAAATCAAATGTGGAAAAAGTGGCATATCCATCTGCCCCCACAATCTGAGTGCATAACTCTTTAAAGCATGGGTTTGAAACCTCTGCAAGTTCAACCGCATAAATGCTGAACTAGGGTTGTCACCTCTTTTTTTTTAATTGATGGGCTTCTCATTTTTAATACCTGTATGGGAAGCAGGTACACCATGGCTTCCTCCATGCTAGGGACTTATTGAGTTTGACAGACCAAAAGAGAGAACACTTCAGCACGAGAACAAACGAGAGAAAACTCTGAGTGCATGTGAACAAGCTGCACTGTCTTGATTCCCATACAACTACAAATATTTTAACCAACAGTGCTCTCCTGCCCTTTGAGAATGTTGGCTATGGATGGGTGAGCTCTGATGGACAATTCAGTAGTTTAGGTATCTGGTTGTGAAGCCAGAGGTTGGACGTTCAGCTCCCCACTATGCCTCCCTGACAAGGGCTTTACTCTATAATCCCTTTCAGCTGTGCAGTTCTAAGATGACAATGGTGGTGGTGGTGGTGGTGATGATGATGATAGCTGACTGATAACTTATGTAGGGACTAATTGGGGTAACTGGGATCTCTAGATAGTTCATAATTACATCATATGACATAGAAGTCTCCCTAACTGTTTGTCTGACAACGTATTCTGATATACAACAGATGGAGGTGTCCATGTCACCAACATCATACTACCACAGAAACTAAGGGAAACATGAAGGACTCAACATCTTTCGGGCTAGTATGGAATTTTCTTGGCTCTGACCTGTCATTGGTTGGCCACTTCCTCTACTTTGTCAATGGCAGTCCTCCAACTTGGGGATCCATTTAGTCCAAGTACAGATTTAAAAATGAGAACCATAGAATAGGAGAAGAGGAATTTCCAAGCTACTGAGCTCTTTTTAATACCAGATCTTGGACAGAAGACAGATCACCTTGGTCCCAGTCCTTCCCCTTATGGAGGGAAATATTGCATGCCTATTTAAATGACAGTAATTTTTTCTTGTGTTCCTGCGCACAAATTAGCATATGCCGATATAATGCAAATATGCACTATTCTTTTTTGATGACATGTTTCTCTCATTTGTTCCTAATTTTGTTGGCAATGTGCATGTAGCTAATCTAGCTGTGTAGCCTTGGGCAAGTTTCATAGTCTCAGGGCACCCCCAGAAGAAAGGAATGGTAAACCAGTTCTGAGTACTCTCTACTTGGAAAACCCTGAAAAGGGTCACTATAACTCTTAATGGACTAGATGGTGCATTACTATTATTTCCATTAATTATCAAGTATGTCTCTCTCTACCTATCCCAGCCAGGGTACCAAGCCCAAACCAGGTTGTGGGAAAAACCTTCAAAATCCTACTTTAGATATTTATGGATCTTTAACAAAGCCAAAAAAAACCAAAGCGTGCTGCTTATATACTGCCCTACAGTGCTCAAAGCACTCTCTTGTGGCAGTTTGCAATTTAATTATGCAGGCTGCACATTGCTCCTCCCTCCCCCTGCCCAGCAAGTTGGGTATTCAATTTGCCAACCTCAGAAGGACAGAAGGCTGAATGAAGCTCAACCTAGCTACCTGGGATTAAACCCAGGCCATGAACAGGGTTTTGGCTGAGCCACTGTGCCACAAGGCTCATAACAGGAGCTCAAGATGCAGCTGAAAATATCAACTGCCAACTCTAGAGTTAACATCCCGTTTGATGAAAGGAGTTTACTGCCATCCCTCAGTTTTACTATCGCCTTACATCTGATCAAACATCCAGGAATGTAGAAGATCAGGTGATTATTCTCCCCTACAATGTAGAGAATAAATAAATAAGCAACTCTCCTTATGGCTGCATTGTCCAGGATTTTGGAAAATGACTTTCTAGGGTGCAGTTCCTAACTCTGCTATCTGGGAATACTGGGTGTCCAAAAAAGTAATTTTACCCCCAAATTTGGTACCAACACTCTGGAAATTATTGCTTGTTTTGTTTGTTTTTAATAATCTTCTGTGTTCACCTTTTGTGCAACTGAGCTGGGGATTAAGAGGGATTTGGTTTTTATATAAGGTCTCTTTGATTTCTAGAAGTCAAGCCTTTTTTTTCCCTTCAGTTTTATAATTCAAAGCTCGCCTGACATTTTAAAACTAATGTTTGATTTAAAGGCTCAGCATAATATTGACCATCAGATGCTCTGGCAAGATGAGGTCTTTGTAAAAGCAAATATTAACATTCAGCAGGCATTGTCGGCTACTCTTTTTTTTTTAATTCTAGGGATTGGTGGAACGAGTGACAGTATCTTATTTGGGTTTTTTTTCCCTCCTCCATTCCCTTTCCCCTCCATCCCCCTCATCTTCTGCAGTATGGAATTAAGAAGAAGGAAGAAAGAGAAGCAGAAGCCCAAGCAGCTCTGGAAGCAAATGCTGAAGGAAGTCTGACACGTCCAAAGAAGGCCATACCGCCCGGCTGTGGGGATGAAGATGAAGATGAGGATGAAAGCATTCTAGACACCGTTATCAAATACCTGCCTGGTCCCCTCCAGGACATGTTTAAGAAGTAAATAGTTACAGACTGCCAGCCTGTCCATGGACAGTAAAGCAATGGATTTCTCATTGGTTCAATGGGGAATTTATATACTGGCCACACATCACGCAACCTGTTCCCACCCACTGCTCCAGCCTTCCCGCCCAATCATTCACTCAAGTCCCGCCTCCCCACACCCATCTTCTCCCATCCATTCCTTATTTTGTACATATCCACATCTAGTAGATGCCTCCAAATGGATGTAAAGATTAAGAAGCTGCAGTCTACACAACTTTTTATTATTATAAAGCCATAGTTCTACGTATGTTCAATAAAGACAGGTGTACATTAAGCAGAAAAAAAGGGACAATAGCATGCTTGTTTTTTATCTCCCAGCAGGAGACAGGGAGCTCACCCAACAAGATCAACAGGTGGCTCAGGTGCTTTTTCTGTTTTTTTTTGGGGGGGGTCCCCATTTATTGGAGTTATCTCCAAGAGTGGATCAGGTCACTCTAGGCCTCCACAGCATTAGTATGTCCCCTTTCTAGGGCAGAACTGAAAGTATTCACTTTTTGGGGGGAACATTTTTGGAAGTGTCAAAGAATGCTTTCTGAGGATGGTGGTGGTGGCAATGCCTATGAAACTATTTCTGCCCATACACATTGCCCTTTGTTTCCTCTCCTAAATGACTTGATTTGCCCTAACTGACATCACCATGTAACATATCTTGTTTTACTACATGGTGTAGTGATGTCATGAAGTTCACTATGTGATCCATGATTGGTTGGAATCATTCATGTAAATTACCTAAGAAGCATCGCCTTCTCTCCATTTACTCTCCCCTCTCCATGTAATGTCATCACATAACCAATTCTTATTGCTACCTGACAGTGTGACATCATCCCGGTCACTATGTCATCTCTCATAGGCTGTGTTCATCTGGGCGATTAAGTGTGCAAAATGGCAGAAGCATTAACTACACAAGAGCAAGGGGAAATGTAATGAGAGCAGAGTGTCTGGGAAAGGAGTAGTGGTGGTGATGATGATGACCATCATGACAATAAAAAAAAAAATTCAGTATTCAAAATTCTCACAATTTTAGCAATGGGAAAAAATATCTCAATCTTTACAAAATTGCTTTTTGTTTGTTTTTTGTTTTGGCATAATAGAAATGGGGGAGTGCTCATCACAGGCCTATATTTGGGAAATCTCCTTTTTCTATACCTGAGAGATCCCTAGCTAAAATGGGAGCTTTCCTCCTTGTTTTTCCTATTTTTTTTTCCATCACTGGTAAGAGATTATTTGGGAACTGCATCACTCACTATTTACATTTCATATCGAAGGGTCAGAGTGGTGGAAAAGCTAGCTCTACCTGTACTTTACAAATAAGTATCTAATGCCTCAAAATCTTTTAGGCAAATGTCTTGCTGCTTTAGAGGAGCCATAACAAGAAGCTAGTAAGGAAGGAATTTCTTCTATCTGGAAAGTACTGCTTTTCCTGCAATGATTAATGAAATTCTGTCAGAACTTATCATCTAGTCCTCTAAGACTCCCACACATTTCCAGGCTGACAGACTGCACTATCAAACCAACTTTGTTGAAATCCTCCAGTTATTTTTCCATGGCCGGTAAAGGAGTTAGACACCATATGGAGGGGTATGGGACCCTATCTCTTTGTGATATTTGAGGGTCGTTGGCTGTGGCAGTATGTGGGAAACATCAGTAAAACCAATCAATTGCTTATTTGAAGTGAATATCCTTCACTGGGCCAATGTAAATTAAATGTTTACTATAGTATAGTTCACCTCTTAAAATGAAATAGTAAATGAAATAAGCGTAAAGATGTTAGACTCTTTGCATCTAGGCTTCCATCATTTGTACTAGCTTAGTTTGTACTACATATGCCCGCTTTGAAATCATAGGTCACTGATCACAACATTTCTGGGTACAATCCCATGCCAAATAATCCAGAATGTTTCCTACTAATAATCCTGGAGGTTCCCAGCAGTGCTAAATTTGAGAAAGTTGAATCTTTAGTGACATGAGGGAAGGACCCAAAATCAGTAATATTCTGCTTGGAAAAAGGGGGTCCAGCAACAAGAACTGTTACTTTTCTTGGAAGGCCATTGCCAGAATCTCTGACATGCTGGTTGGGAGCTGTAGTCTAAAAAGTAACTTTAGTGGGCATTTCCAGTTTTTTTTTTTAAAAAGGTGCTGGTTTGATGACTATTACCAGCGAAGATGGTAGTATTGAGCTCAATGTCCCAATAGCATAAAACTGCCCTTTGTGTAATTTTCTGCTGCAGCAAGATTCTTTCTTCTGCTCTCTGCACCAAGTTTGGAGCAGATGGGCTTCTGCACATGTTCAGTAAGCGTACTAATTCTGTTGTTATGCCAAAAAGAGGGCTTTCTAGTGAGTGTAACAAAACACGATGTTTATCATCAATTGTTCGTTAATAGCACACTCCAGGCCCATGCTGAAAGCAGAGATAAAAATATATGATCAGCATCACCATGTAATACTGTATACCTGTTTATTGCTGGTCAGGTTCTCTGACTATACAAGCGGTGGGATTCAATCTTTTAATTTTGCCACAGTTTTTAAAAACAGATTTCCTACATGTGAATTGCCAACAGGTCAGGGCGATGTTCCCATGCTAGTCTTCTTCCTGACGTGTGAGACTGTGATGGTTTGTTTTGCTTTAATGTGGTGAGCATTCAAATTATTTTCCCCCACCTGCAGCCTACAGTGATACCATTTACCCACAGATACATAATATGGGGCTATAGATGGCACAGAAAATACTTATTGGGCCTGTTCCATGAAATAACTTATTAATGGGTTTCCAAGGAAGCATTCCAATAACGCAAAAAGCTGCAAAATATTTTATCAGTCTTCCCGGTCTTAAAAGCTTAGTGGGAAAGCATCCTAGCACTTAGCCATTGGGCCACTTTCACTGAGCGGTGGCATAATCAAAATGAGTAGCCATATTAAATCTGATTGTCTTTAAAAAGCTCGTGGTTATTAACTTTACGAGTGTGATGCCAGAAGGTCCACATGCTTCTGGGATGGGTGGGTGTGGTGATCACCTCATCACTCTGTTCTTCTTTTTTTGGCCACACCTATTGTACGAAAGCAGATAAATGCTACTGATTGTTAAAGCTCAACTCTTCCTTTTTTAATTGCACATTTCAAGGATATGCAGTACCTAAGTGGAACAACTAGGTTATTATTTTTGTGTTTGTTCTTTGAGAAAAACGTAGATTTTACCTTGAAGTTCCAACAGGGCCCTTAAGGTGCCTCGTGATACATGGAAGGAAATCGTTGCAGAGCAAAATGAAATGAAAGAAAAAACATTTTAAAGATTTTAAAGGCAGGAATCTAAGCACTTGTTAAAGCTATTAATGTGATTGGTTGATGGATGGACTGATTGATTTGATTTATGTACCACTCCATTAGTGCAAGCACTACTTTGGGTGGTTTACAGGTTAAAACTATAAGGAATGACACATCAACCGTGGAAACAAACATCTGGTACTCACTGGGCCTAAAACACCCTTGAAAACTGTTCTCTCCTTTGGCATCTTTTCAAAGCAATAAGGGACCAAGTTTGTCTTGGCTCCTGGACTGGAAGTTCCTTAATGAGGTGATCATACGTAGGTGAGACAACCCTCCTCTCTGTGCAGGGGCTGTGTCTGTCAACCTAGATTTCCCGTCCAGAGAAAGGTCTTGCCAAATGACTGTGTGGTAGGGAGACTGAATTTGTAAAGAATCATGAAGTAACTTTCTCCTAGCTGTGAATAAACAGTGGGAAAAGACTTTGGACCATCAGGAGAAAAATAAGTCCTTGTCCTCAGCTCAGCAGCTTCCAGAGTCTCATAACCATGTGCACCAACTTAAGTAACCTGGTCTTCCCCAAAGATCTTGGGAAACAAAGCTTTTCAAGAGTGCTCAGAATTCATGGATAGTCCTTCCCCATCCAGAACTTGTAGTTTCCAAGATTGCCTGGAAAAAAAGAGGAATTACAATTGTAACTATTTAAATATGGTCGGTATTCAGAGTAGGCATTAACATTACACTGTTACAACAGTGACACCACTATCGTGCCATAACTCCATCCTATGGACTCTTTGGGTTCGTAATTTGGTGGAATAATTAGAAGTCAAGCTATTTGTGTCTCATGATATAACAATTGCTTATTTAATATGGTGATGATGAATGGATGCAAGGCAGAAAAGATAAAAGGAAGGTTTATACTAACATCTTCTGGCTGCAGGGGCTCCCCAACTATAGTGATATGATCTTAAAAGGCCAAAAATAAGTTTCCGGTTACCTGAGTACGCATGAGAATAAGACAAAAGTCAAGAGGAAGCTGCAGCTTTTGTAGCCCTGGATAGATAAATGAGGAAGCAGCTAGAATAAATAAACAAACCAGGCCTAGGAAAGTTCTTCAGAGAGTGCAGAAAACCAGAGAGAAAGCCGATTGATCTTCCCACCTCACAGCCCAGGGAGGCCTGTCTCAGTATGCTGACCGTGGGGTGTGAGGATAAGCCAGACGGATTGTGCTTCGCCTATGGTAAAAGCAAGAATACTGCCATTTCACAGCCATGATGACCTGTGCCATATTGTCTGTGAACAGTTCATCCACCTGTGTGGCTTCATGCCAATTTCTTCTGGGCAAGTAACTGCTGCAGTTACATGGTTAGAATCCCTGTATTCATGTTATGGTGGAGCCATAACAGTTAAAAGTGCTATCAATTTGATAATAAGTGTGTCGTGTAGACCCTCTCAGAAACTCATAGTGAACATGTCTTTGGCTAATGGGACACAAGAGTCCGTTTCGTGTCGCTGTGTGTAAGCCAATGTCTTGTCTGCCTATGGCTGTTTGTACAATGTTCTTCTTTTAATATTACATTTCTTCGTTGAGACCTATTTACCTGTTTTCAGCCTACAACAAAATGTGACGAAAGCACTGCATGGCAGGCCACAAAGCAAACCAGGTTTTGTGGGAAAACTAGACTATTAATGAACTACGTGGCCAGTTGTCCCAGAGAAGGGAGATATCCATTCAACCTCCTCCCAATAACTCCCAAACTGTCACAACCAGCATGGGCCACTAATCATGCTGCCTGTCTGGAAAGCAGCCCCCACCAAAACTCACTTTTTCTATTTGTGGTTATAACTCCTATTCTGCTTTCTGCTCATCTGAGTTTTGCTTTGATTAGAGGTGAAAAGTGAGACTCTTAACCTGATCTAAACAATTACTCATTTAATATAGGGTGCACTCATGTTTCTGTCTGGAGCCTGACAGCATTGAGAGAGCTATTAATGTTGTTAAAAAAAGAAACAAAGAAGGATGGGTGTGATATTCTGCTCAAAGACAACTACAAGTGAAAGAAAAGCTACATTTATGTTATATTTTTAATTAATGAATGAAGGGACAAAGCCCATGCTTGGTGAAGTCACATTGTTGCGTCTTTTCACAGTTGTTCCACTACAAGCTGCTCAAAAATCCCCCACATTTCTGAGGTGTCTCTCACACTGGAGAAAAATTATTTGCATGTTGAAAGGAAGGTTCTCCACAGCCATCTTCCTGATGCCTAACTTTTCAACATGCCAGGATTTATTTATAAAAACGGGAGAGTTTTTTTTTGGGGGGGGGGAAATAGGCTATTCTCCCTGTGATTTGTAGGGAATGTGTGAGAAATGTGCAGGTCAGCTCACTTCTGAGGGACCATTCCCTCCGAAGTGCCTATGCCGCTGTGAAACTAATGACAGGAGGCACTTCCCTGCCTCCAAGTGAAATGTTCACGCAG